TATATATACATATCAGATATATATATAGAATGCAAGTATTGTCGCCCAAATCTTATTGATTAGAAATCTTAGAAAATACTTTTTTTTTTTGAGTTTAGGGAATTTAAAACCCTAAACCCCTAAAAATGCGGCGAGAAAAAAAATAGAAATAATGGTTATAGACCTCCTAATCGTATACTACTTCGTACTACCAACTATTTTCGTAATATTATTACACAATACATATATGCTATATATAAAATAAACATTTTAAAAAATGATGAGGCAATAGACTGTGTTGTTTATCTGAAATCATAAGCGTGGTATATTTCGAAATCCAAAACGTATGGCTGTTATGTCGGGTACTTGGACCACTACTGTCAAACAAAGGCAACCTAGACATTTAGTGATTGTTCTACTTTTCATATTCCTGCTAGCCACCTTTCAAAGCCTTCGAAAGCTACGCTCACAGACAGGTAAGTAGACCCATATTTAAGGTGGTAAACTCACATGTTTTAATTAATCTCTCTCGTCTTCAGCAACTTAAAATCTTATTATCATACTATCCGAATCGTTAAGGTCATGGAGATTTCACCTCGCCGAGTGTCACAAATGAAACTGCCAGTATAAAGAAGCGCTTATTGGTAACTGGGGCAGCAGGCTTCATCGGCATGAGTTTGAGTATAGCCTTGGCAGCAGATGGTCACACTGTTGGTATGTATGTATATATATATATCCTGAAACTTCCACACTGGATTGAATTTAGTTTAATTCATGAACCAATAGAGCCAACACAATTTTAATTAGGTTGCCACATTTTTTAACTTTGACTCGATCAGTTGGTATCGACGACTTCAATGATTATTATGACGTCGACCTTAAAAGGGATAGGGCATATGAACTATACAGAAGAAATATTGAGGTACTTCAGTTGGATGTATGCGATAGATCCGGCCTGCAAGGTAAGTTGGCATAATTGAATACGATCACTCGTTTCTGACACATTGTTGTGAGCTGAATTTTGACAATCTATTTTTTTCGTTTCAGAGATATTCAAAGAACATCGGTTCACACATGTTGTACACTTGGCGGCGCAAGCCGGTGTCCGATATTCGATAGAGAATCCACTCGCATATGTAAGGGCAAACGTACAATGTTTCGCTACTCTGCTTGAAGTGGTGCGACATTTCCCTGGCATTTTTGTCACCTACGCTTCATCATCTTCAGTTTATGGACGCAATACAAAAGGTATGGACATCATTCCCATTACTAGCAGCGATGCAGGTTTTGATGTTTTAACACTGTCAAGCAAATTTGCCTACGTACAAAAATATACTGATATATATATATATATATATTACTTTCTCTGGTTTAAAACCTAAAGTGCCCTTTGACGTCAGTGACCGCATCGATTCCCCGTCGAGTCTATACGCTGCCACTAAAAAGTCGAATGAAGATTTTGCTCGCGTGTATCATCATCTCTACAAAATCCCAATGACTGGACTACGGTTTTTCACGGTTTACGGACCTTGGGGGCGACCCGATATGGCTGTTTACAAATTCTCTGCTCAAATAATGGAGAATAGAAGTATTGACGTATACGATGAGGGCACTTTACAACGAGACTTCACATACATAGACGACATAGTGGATGGTATTAAAGCCGCTATAAATCACGGTGCCAATTTCGAGGTAAAAACCATAACCATGTACTTCGTGAATTCGAGCATCCTTCCTTGAGGTTTTAGGGTTTGGCGACTTTTATTACACACTTTTCCACAAAATTATGATTTTATGCTCAAGTTGCCGTTCTTTCACATAACATACTCTTCAGATATTCAATATCGGTAAAGGTCACCCCGAGACCGTTTCCGATTTGATAGCTGGGCTTGAAAATGTCCTCGAGAAGCGCGCAAACAAGTAAGCATATCTTGACACGCCCATTTGATGATCGAACACATACCTGTGCAGATAGCCATAGGTTGCTACACATAAACCAAGGTATTTTGACGATCGACCGTGTTAAAACTTTATCAGTACATTCTTGTCGTGCGTGTATAGCTGATAGGTAGCTGTGCCGACCTCTCTCTTGTACCCGACAAACAACTAGGAATTACTTACCGATGCAGCCAGGGGATGTAAAAATTACGTACGCGGATATCGGCCATACTCGGTCCCAACTGGGGTTTGCGCCGAAAATTTCACTGCAGGAGGTAATTTCTTTATCATAGTCTCGCTAGTCTATCAGTTGCTTCACACTTGATTTGATCGTAGATTCTTTGAGGAGACTCGTAGAGTAAAAGATTATCGATTGCCATTTTGCTTATGGCTATAGGGATTATATCGATGGGCTGCATGGTATTTGGAAAGGAGGGAGGACTTGGAAAGAGGAAATTTCGTCAGGCAGAAGGAGTATTATGAAAAACAAATAGAAACGGGTGTTTCACAGGAGTCGACGCTCGTCACTGCGGTGCCTAAAATACGAAAGGGAGGTACGGCGGGGGGGGTCGTATTGACATCGATTTTAGAGTATTCCGAAGCGGCCATGAACTGTTTGAAATCGCTATATCGATATCAAATACCATCCATAGTGTTCGTGAGTAAGGAAGTATTGAGCACACTGGACACAGTTACTTTCAAGAATGCAACCGTACAGATTCTGTTGATCGGTGACGATGAACTATGGCGAATGAACTGTTTTCGACACCTCAAAGCACACCTACTAGGACTTGTGAAAATGCAGAAAGCCCCGGAATATTTAGTTTTCGTGGAAAGCAAGAAGGTGGATTTTTCGCGAAATCCATTTTCAGACATACAGCGAACACACAAGGAAAATGGCTTTACATTTTTTTTTACAGCTCGAAGTGTACCGTTCCTACGTTTTGACACAGGATTGTAAGGCGTGTTTCGGGTTGTCGGAGCGCGGATTTGACTTAGGCCAGCTAAATTCTACCCATGAAAGCGCATTCAGTCCGGACATTTGGGGTGGACCTTTCGATGAATTCATGTTCTTGCTCGATCATATGAATTCTGTCCTATACACTGAGAAGAAACTTCTGTACAGTGAGATCACCATTGAATGCATGAGGGTTGCATTCATTATCGCCGTCAAAAGACTGGCAGGATATGCAAGGATTTCAGCCGGGCATGGGGGTTCAAAAGATAAAATATTTTCTCCAGCAAGAAGCGAGTACTGTACTGGCACCCAAGCTTCATACGCCGTTTACCATCTGCCAGTTTGCAAGTCCAGTCATTGAAAAATAAATATGAAAATGACCTTCCAAATCGAAAAGCCCGACACCCAAATGGCTAATTACGCATATCCCGCTCTAGCTGAGGATGGCACCGCAATAACTGCAGAGTTTTTGCGGTGCCCAAGTCCCCAACGCTCAATACGTTGTGTAAATCTCTGTAACATCATCATCCAGCTCGCTACTGGATAGTTTCTTTATTTTGTAGTGAACTCAAGGTACACGTAGTTTAATAAATAGGGGAACTAAGCTAATGGTTTAGCCTCCCTAGAACCAGTGACAAAAGGATCGGTGTTAGGACCGACCCCGTAGTCTTAGTCAAGAGTCAAGAGTCAAGTGACATGTGTGATGTGAGGTCTTTCCATACGTTGTCCTCAATAGCTAGAGTTGTGACTGCCTCTCTAGGTTCCATACTAGAGTGCCGGACTGTCCAGGACTTGGTAATACCATCCGCTATTACAGCCCCCCCCTGACGGAGGCACGTAGGGTTACGCGTCTCAGAAAAGAAAGGAGAGTAGAACCGGTCGATAATTCGCCGGTGTCGGAAAATACCTTATAATGGGGGGGGGGGGGGGGGTGTCATCAAATTTGGAAAAAGAGTACTGTAGGCTGTAGTTCAACACTGTAGTTTCAGTACACTGGTTTCTGTAGTAAAGGTACACGTCGTTTACTATGAGTAACTAAGCTAGATGTTTTACCAGTGTACAAAAGACTAGACCCTGGGACCTGGGTCCAGCACTGAAGTCTTCACAGGGTCTCGGTTAGCGAAGGCGCCTATGTAGCTCCAGACTCCAGTTGGCATGCGGGACTCATCTAGTCCCTGGTCCTGTGATGAAGGACCGTTGTGTCCTCCATCACAGGACCGAGGAAAACCCCGGATTGGTTGTGTCCGTCCGGTGCTACCGTCCGCTCCTACATCTCATGAAACATAGTCTTCTAATTTAGAAGGCTATGCATTTTAAAAACCCAACAAGCATATGACTAACAATTTTGACTAGCTGCCTATGGCCCTCTAAAATTAACAAACCTGTCTAAAATTGTGACATAGATCGGTAGTTTTACTAGTACGTCTTTATTTGTTTAACTAAACTATATATTTAGCTTCAACGTACTGAGGGTCAGTTTTCACGGTAATAATTTATTTCGACAGTAAAATACAATAGGGCATAATAGGTCCATACTCGGCACGATGGCTTCGCAGCTGACCCAAAATAAAAAATCGCACCGAAGTAGTTCCCGTAAAATTTGCAGTCTGGAGCAGAAATTTGGCTTACTCCGTAGTTATGTGCATCCACAAAAATTATTTTTTGAAATATGATAAATAAATGTATATAGTGTGTGACTTTTAGGTATAGTATGAGTAATTAACACCTCTTTAGATACTACATATTGTTAGTTTTAAATAACAAATAGTGTGGTGGCGGAAGTTATGGCGAACGACGATGACGGTGGTAGAGATTCCAGCGATGACGACGAGAATGACGACGATGTAGAGGCGAGCAGGTATACCTATATGCTGGAGGCAGATGTGCGTAGCGAATTAAATGTACCTAATGCAACGGTGAATGACGCATTGCCATTGTTTCGAACTAGTAGAACGGAAAAGTTTCAAAGATTAGCGGAAGCGACCAGTGATGGAAGTATCAATACACACAGTGATGCCTACTAGGAGGCAGAAAATGCTGTAGAACCTAGTATATCACGCACTGACTATTACGCCAACTTTCCCATATTTATTTTTCACGACGGACCTTTGATTCAAATTTTCGTCTCCGAAACGTAAATCTCGGTGACCAGTAGGTAACCAGCATAGAACTGAATGCCACTTTCAAAAAACCCACATACCCCACCAAAACGTTGACTTGAAATTTGGGTTTTCAATAAAAAATAAAATTAAAAAATCCAGTAGGGAGTCTGGGGACCCACAGTCCCACAGTCCCACATCCGCGAAAAATGTCGGGCCAGGCCGAATCCCCAATTGAGACGTTCGTCCCCAACGACTCCTTACCCAATGACCAATGGAAATTGGACATAAAAAATCGATCACAAACTTCTCTGCCCAGGTCAGTACTCTACAGGCCATTCTCAATCAAATTTTGGGACCAGCTCTAACAACCCCGAACAATGATGGGCCCATCTCCAAGGAGCCTTTGACTGATGACCAATGGAAATCAACCATACACCAAATGCTCACTAACCTCTGTGCAAAAACAGCCAACCTTGAATCCGAACTCCGGGACCTTAAATCCCAAACCCGTGCACCTATAGATAAAGACACACCCGACACTTTCCGATTTGGCTCCACAAGCCCGCCTGCTCCGCCTGCAAAAAGACCGCGGCCACAGGCGCCCAATAGCAGCAGTGAGCCTCCCAGCTACCGCTCAAAAGTGGACAAACCTGCAAAACCGAGCCCTAAAAAATGCCCGACCCCACCAGCTTCTCAATCCCAACCGCAGCCGCCAGTACCCGAACACCTTTTGGCGAAAGTGGTGGGCCGCCCGATGCCGGATGTGGTCAGAATACAAGTACTTAGATGTATTTGATTATTTTAGGTTTATTACAAATTTTACAGTTTATCAGAATAATCTGATAAACTGAGTTTTAGGGTTTTGCTGGTTTTACAGCACATGACTAATGACTCATTTAAGAGTCAGTCATTTTAGGATTACTGTTTATAATTACTAATAAATGAATAACGTCCCCCTACCTGAAGAGGGAGAACGTTGAGATACAGTTATCTCGCGTATACTTACTACATTTTTAACACTTACCATAGAAGTTGTTAGTTTATTAGTAATTACAGAGAAAGCTACAGAATATGAATTAGTCAGTAGCTGGCACATATTTTTTGTTATATGTTTAACAATTGAAAGACAATGCGAACAGAGAATGTCGCATCAAAATGAACGATTTAGATTTTCCGGTCGTTGGATTGACGACGTGTGGACGACGAGGATGAAGGAAGAATCTACTAATACGAGGGAAACCGGAGAGCGAATATTCCAATCAAGCAGAAGTTACAGCGCATAAACGCCGGACGAACTACAATAGGGCCGGCAGCTAAGGAGAGTTCTTCTGACGCACACGAACGGGTACAGGCAGTGCCAGAGGACGAAGACAACCCTACCTTTCGCATCCAAGGCTGTATGCGTCCGTACCATGGACTCGGGGACAAATCACCAGGGTCAGAGGACAGTTCAACCGAGGAGGAGGATACTCTGTCTGCCAGTGAGAACACACCAACTTTTAAAGAGTTCGCACATGAACAAGTATTAGCCAGACAGAACCCTCATGGTAAGGAGTCAAGCCAATGCGAAGATTGCCGACAACGCGCGCTGTCGTCTGGAAGGGAGTGAGGTAACCATCCCAGTAACCCATGAACAAGCGTTGCAGATGCGGAGATCGACGCGTAACTTCGTATCCGATCGATGGCTCCCCTATGTGGATGAACAAGTGAAGAAGTGGTTGACGGATTTGGTGGTTACGAAACGAACGACACCAACAACTGTTAGTCTTCCTCTCCTTGCGGTACCGACATTCGATGCGGAAGTCAACGTCAAGAAGGTACGCGTATGTTTAGATATGCGTGCCGTTTACGCGCTTATTCCTGGTGACCAGTTCCTGATCCCCAAGGTCAACGAATTCATATCTCGCCTCAAGAGTAAGAAGTACTACACGACGCTGGCGACATATCGGCTGCATACTACAGGCTGCCCATCCATTCAGACTCACAATACTTATTTAGTTTTACACACGAACGTTATCAGTACTCGTTCACATCAGCACCGTTCGGTCTTCATGTACTCACGCAGCAGTTCCAACGTACCTTGAGTACGATACTTGCTGGCTTACCGGTTCACCACTATATCGATGACATAGTTATCGCCAGGGACAATTTTGACAACACGTTAGGACGGTGCAGAAGGTGATACAACGCTTAACATACCACAGTTTTAAGCTTAATCTTACCAAGTGCCAATTCGCTATTTCCGAAGTCATGATCCTAGGGAAGAAAGTATCGGCACAAGGCATTGACATTGACCATGAAAAGCAGGCCAAGCTGATCGACTGGCCCACACCACTACGGTACAAAGATATAGCCTCGGCGTTGGGTTTATCAAATTACCTCCACGAACATCTGCCTAATTTCGCGAACACGGTTGCACCCTTGCGCGAATTTTGCAAACTCAACCCAAAGGAGTTGATAGGTGATCGTTGGGAGGAGAGACGTGCACAGGCGTGGCAGGCAATGAAGGACGCAGTGGTGAATGCTGTGGCGTTACACTTTCCGGTCGACGGCATTCCTCTGAACTTGGAAACTGACGCTAGCGATTACGGTTTAGGGGGAGCGCTATTCCAATGGGTCGACGGTAAGAAACATTACTTAATGTTCTTTAGTAAGACTCTGACCCATGCGCAACAGAACTACGCCACACCTATGAAGGAGTTACTGGCATTGGTATATGGACTGACACATTTCAGGGAATACTTGGATGGGCAACGGTTTGCGGTCTTCACGGACCACAAGGCCCTTGTGTATATGAACACACAGCTCAAGCTTAATCCGATGCTTCAGAGATGGCATCATATCATCGGGTTTTTTAGGGTTTAGGGTTTAGGTATCTTTATTTGTTTACACGCTATTGCTATATACAATGCCTGATGTCCGGGTGGACTTGTGGCTACCGGCAGGTGGTGGCAGTTCCCGTGACCCTGCTTTTCAGGGGAGGGCGAACTGGACTATCTAGGGGCTGAGGCTTGTGCAGTCTGTGGTTGTTGTACTTGTTGAGTTGTTTTCTTTGGCTGTAGTTGTCTAGTTGGTAGTGGTGTGGGCGTTGGACAACCGTAACTGGATTGACACAGAGTCTGTGAGTACGCTGTGATAGATATGCATATCGTTTCATTGAATATGAGGTATGATACAATGGCTCACCAGTATATCGTAATCACTACCGCATCACCGGTTCGCGATGTGCGACTGTGCCTGCCGATAGGACATTCAGGGAGGGTGTGGGCGGGG